GATTGCAGAAGAGACTCACGATTTAACTGAGAAAGTACTTTAAATAGCCTTTCAATGGCTTCTAAGTTATTGTAGAACCGATTGAGCTGCCCGTTCTGCCCATACTGTAAGCAAAGTAGCTAATTGGGCTAGTCGGAACATACTCATCACAATCAGCGCACAAAAAAGCGCAAAGAACACAATGAAGTTCACAAAACAAAAGCTGTCTACAATTCAACGTTTAAAGGAACAAACGTGTCATATACTATACGCAAACATAAAGGCATTAAAAATTTTGCACGTAGTCAAGTATGCTGTAGATACTAAATCTCAGCATCTGTGAGAGCAATTGAAGGCTAGCTCACGCACCTGTCTTTTGCTTTTTATGATTTCATACGCTTCAGTGATTGCCCCGCCGCGGTGGTGTAGTGGCTAAGGTACTCGGCTGCTGATCTGCAGGTCGCGGGATCGAGTCCCGGCTGCGGCGGCTGCATTTCTGATGGAAGCGGAAATGTTGTAGGCCCGTGTGCTCAGTTTTGGGTGCACGTTAAAAAACCCCAGGAGGTCGAAATTTCTGAAGCTCTCCACTACGGCGTCTCTCAAAGTCATATGGTGGTTTTATGACGTCAAACCCCACTTATAATCATCATATCATCACTTCAGCAATTTCACGCGTGCGCTGGGATCTATGCTTCATCACCACAGTGGTTTTGTTTTAACTCAGCTGTGCAGCCGCACTGCCGGCAATGGAGGGCAAGATGCGCAGATGCTGTACCTTTCAGAGAACTAGCATGCTTCCTTAGACGGACGTTGAGGCAACGTTCCTTTTGCCCAATGTACGTTCCCCCACATGACAAAGGGATGGAGTACACCACTCCACTCGCACAGTCAGTAAAACGCTTAGAGTGCTTTATAGAGCAACCTTTAGCGCTGGCATTGTCCTGCCCCTCTTGTACGCTTTTATCGACCCTCGCACACATGCTTCCTAGCTTCTTGCCAGCACGAAAACCAGCTTTTATGTCATAATGACTGGCCACCTTCTTCAAACAGTGCAACACGGAGGGCAGATATGGGATATAACGATGAACTTTTTTTCACCAATCCGAGTCTATAGCCGCAGCGTCAAGGCCCTCTTTTGGTTTCCTTTGCGGGCAATGAAACAGTCGCTGTGAAGTGGAGGCAAGGACCAGGCGCTGGAAGCCGGCCGCTTCCAATCTGACAACCCGCTGTTAAAAATTGTCACGTGCAGCGTGAAGACAGGACTTCTTTCAAGCCGAATCAAGACAAGACGCGGCCAATTCATTTTTTTTTACAATTTTCGAATGAGCAGAGTGATAGCTTAAACGTGGTTTTGTGGAACGGTGGTAAATTAGACCAGCAAACGTGGTCCCTCTGGAACTGTGATGAAACATCTAAAAATTGCAAGACATGGCCTCTTGGGACTACAGATGTAAAAAACAGACATTTGACGCTTTGCTTAAGCATACGTTCTCTCATACTCATATCGTGGTGCTGGGAAGTTAAACCCTAAATAGTTATTATTAATAAATGTTCGTACACGTTAAAACACCATCCTTCCACTAAACGCACACATCTGCGCACATAGGACCCACAGAAATTTCGAAAAGCAATTGCTAGCGGCCGTAACCAAGGGATAGAGAACCGCTGGTGATGCGTTGAAATAGCTATATCAGCTCGTTCTACTTACTCTATTTGATAATACGAAATGCTAATAATTGGCGTGAAAACAACGTAGTAGCAATCATTTATTTTTCATGACATTTTTATTTTGTCTCTGTAACTTTGATCAGTATTGAGATTGAAGGAAGAAATTCTGATTGCGATCAAATGATCGTTCAGTGAAATGCACAGGTGTGTGATCAATTTTTTTTTTTAACTCGGAAGCGGTAGTAACAGACTAATGGCGCCGGAATTAAGATGGTGTCTACTTTTGGCTGACATGTCATGCCAGCCATGACGGCGTGATTGTACGCCTGTTCGACTGATAAATGTATTGAATGGATTGCACCGTGACTGCCTAGCTGTTTCAAAAGAAATCATTTTGTTTCACCAATGCCGCGGTCTTCAAGCTCTTTGTTCGTGAGTGCACTCCGCAGGATGAATACCAAAGATGGAAGACGTGGCCTGGGGCAACAGAGTTAGACTAAGTGATGAAATTAATAAATTAACAGGTATAAAATAGAATCGCATAGTGGAGGACAAGGTGGGTGGAGAGCATTCGGTAAGGCCATTGTCTTGCAGTGGCCGTAAGATCACCTGACGACGACGACGACAATGATGATTATGATGATGATGATGACGACGATGATGATGATGATGGGAAAGCGTAAGAAATTTCGATCTTCGGCAACTGCTGCAGCACTTTTCTCATTCTTTTGACAGACTAACCGTGCAATGATTTGCAGGATAAGATAAGAAATGTTGTGGTTTACCACTCTTCAATAGCAATTAGAAGTGCAGCCACGCACCTTGCTGCGTTTTTGTTTGGCATGTTTCGTTGACTTAATTGCGCGTTAACTAGTACGACCCTATATACACAAAAAAATTGACAGCACTGCCGATTATGTGGTCTATTCTGCTATCACATAGACGCATTGGATTGGTCCAAGCTGAACTCCACTGACGTCAGGTTCACGCCATGCTAACATTGTTAATAAAAGAACTGCCTCACGACAGCACGCAACGAAAGCGCAAAACGAACAACAAACGCTCTACCGCAAATGGGCCGTGCAGAGTTTTCACGAGATGACGTTCAGGACAGTGATTTGGGGTTGAGTTAAACATAAAGAATGGCAGCGTATCCACTGAGTGAATGATGGATAGTGGGGCGAAGCATCCGTCCGTCCATTCGTTCTTGCTTTCGTCCATCCATGTGTGCGTCTGCGTGGCCGCCCGTGGCTCCATCCGCCCGTCCATGCGTGCGTCTATTCGTGCGTCCGCACGTTCATCTGTGCGTCCGTCCCTGCTTTCGTCCATGCATCCGCTCCTGCGTCCATCCGTGCAGCCATCCGTGCGTCCGTCCATGCATCTGTCTGTGTGTCCGTTCGTCCACCTATTCAACACTCCAAGTACCACTATCTCGCATCTTTTCATCATATATAACTCATATAGAAGCACCGCCATCTAGCGGACATTCCAAGGACTGAACGAGAGGAGGCACACGCAGACTTTCTTACGGCTTGCGCTTCGTGTCTACTTCCCACCTTTAACCACCTCGAGTTCATGGTATATACTAGTTCACTGTATTCATGGCACTGCGGCCCAACGCTCGCTAAACCTTTCTAAAACCTGGGAGGTTACTCCCAGCGAGTACAATGTAGCAACCCTTTCTTGTCTTCTGTGCGTTGCTGAACAATAAAAAAATCGCAGCGTGCGCTTTAACTAAAATCCGAATTCTCCTGTCTCTCTTTCCCCCTTAGCAGCTATTGGCATGTACATCGAGCACTATCTTTTATTGTTCAACAACGCACAGAAGAAATCTTTCACCGGCACCACATTGGAGGTCAAAATATTATACTTGTTACACACTACTACAACGGCTACGAGGATCGAACGGGTGCCGCTAAAAAGAGCTTCGCCCCTAAAAAAAACTATATACGAACTGTGCCTGGTATTCCCTCTAGCAAGAGCGCGACGCCATAGAGTTTCCTAAAATTAACTTGAGGGAACTCTGGCGCTGCGATCGTTCATTACTGTGGGAATGATGGGCAGACACAGATTTGCCTAGTCTTCGTGCCTGGGTCCTTCGAATGCACCTGTGGTTAGTTTATTGTTGTATTTTTATTTTAGTTTCGAATAAAAGACTGGACCGCTGTCAGCTTGGTGAACAGTTTCAAATCGGTCAGCCTAAAAAAGTCCAAGTGGTGAAGCATAACTGCTGAACATTTGCTGAACTTTGTCTTGCGACGAAGCGGCTCTAGACCACACGCAGCCGAACGGAGTCGACGGTACGAAGCATAGACAAATCATTCCCATGCTTGCTGAATCGCTGTACGTTGCAGCTCCCGTACACACTAGCGCCAGAATTCTCTCTTGTGTATCTATAGGGAACTCTATGCCCGACGAGAAGCGCGTGAGGTTCTATCAAATCTGCGTCAGTGTCAGCATCGATCATCCCAGTTATGGTTTACAGGGAGTTCAACTAAGCCTACTACCTAAGTTACTGCTATCGACACCATCATATAAAAGTGATCTTCCCAAGGATTCATGTGCATGTCCTTGTGCCAGTTCCAGCTGAATCACACTGTGTGAGTAGACGAGACGGGTGTTTCGGCTCACATCACACCATTAGCTTCAGTGTTGCAACCAGAATATAAAGCGCGCCTCCTAAGTGACATGCTCCCAGAGGGGCACTCTATATAGGCAACTTGTAACGCTTCTGCAATGCGCAAAAGCGGATGTACACCAACCCTTTCTTCTCATTTCGAGAGAGGAAATGTTCCGACAAGGTCGTCGTCATTGGTACATCATTCTCATTTTCGTCTCGAACAACAAACAACTCGTCATTACCCCCGCCTCCCGCAACACTTGGTATGTCTCTCTGTCTCTCCCTCTCTCTCATGCTGTATGCATGCACCCCGCGGTGTAGTGTATTGGAGACACGTGTGTAGGCATCCGTGGCAGGGAGCGGTCTCCATGACGTCGACAGACCGAAGGTCGGTGACGGGATCGCAGGATGATCGGAGACGCGTCCCGAGAGGATGGAGAGGGTTGGAAAGCAGCGAAGAAGGTGAGAGTAAGTCTGTCGGAAGAGCGAAACTGCCGTACCGTCGCGGGAGAGTGAGAGAGAGTGCGCACTTTCGCGACGCGGGGGTGGTGGGTGGGAGCAGCGAGAGCGGGCACCTCACCTGCTCGCAACCCCCTCGAAACCGGCAACCCCTCTCCGCTCGGAATCTGGAGCATCCGAAGAAAGTGAAAACTCCTCCGAGCGCCGCCGTTCCGTCGCCGCGGGGGTCACGTGGTAGCGAGGATGGCTTCCTGTATATAAGGTCCCCGCAGTGCCCTCTCAGAGGTGCATCTTCCTTCCTAATCCTTCCCCGAGCGGTGTAGTGCTCCATCGGTCCACCGGTGCAACCGCAACTCAGCAACAGCGTGGGCTTAAACACAGCGCACACTCGACGGCTGCTCGGTTCCTCCGAGCAGCAACGCATCGCGAAAGAGACAGTGTTCAGTGGTGAGACGTTTGAGAGACTTCGGCGGCCCGCAAGTACCAGGAGCTCGGGATACAGGTAAGAACGAAGCTTGGCGCCGGAGACCTGTGCTGGGAAACCGTGCTCTCCCCCTACGCGGCTGCTTGTTTAGAGAGTCGACGACGGCTCTGCAACACCCGTGCCCTACGGTCCCTACCTGTTATTGCTGCTCCCCACGCTTCTTCGCCGGCTACATCCGCCTACCCCCATGCAACGGCTAACCGGCGCTGCCCGCTGCGATGCTCTCCGCTCTGTGAATCCGTGGATACACAACGATCCGCCGCTTCACTTGTATCGTCCACTGGCCCGATCCTTTCTCTTTCCGTACCATGTACGCCGGAACGATGGCAGCATTAGCCGTTGAAGATATGCCGATAAGTTCGGGAAAGCACGTAGGGTTCTCCGCATTGCATGACTACGCGGAGCTGTGTATTCAAACCGACGCTCCTTCTTTCATTTCTGATCTAGCCATGCCGTGCAGAACCACAGAACAGTGTTCCTTAAGTCTGCGCCCAGTTGTTCCATTGAACTAGCACCGATGTCAAAAGCGGCGAGAAGCACTCTGTGGAGAAGCTCGCTACTCCATCTGTTGCTCGCTATGCAGTGAAGCCAGCTTGTTCGTTAAAGTTTTTGCAAGTTGTCTCGGTGGGCCAATTTAACTTTGCGAAGCGTGAGAAAATAAAATTACCACTGTTACTACGACTGAGCCTAAACAGAGTGAACTAACTGTGAAGATCTCCACTGGATGAGTGAAGTTGCAGTGATATTTCTCATTCTTTATTCTTGAAGTGTGCGGCAATTATCTTAGCATTGCTCTCACGTGTTTTAAGATTGGCGCCAACGATAACATAACATGCAGTGCAATAAAGGCGCGTTAGCTTAGTAACGCACTTTTCACGGTCACTTGGTGCACCAGTACTTAGCTGAGTAGCGATGCAGTCAACGAACGAAAGATGGCAGAGACAGTGCTCAAAGTGGCTGTGTTTAGCGAAAGATCTCATACGATGCTTGCTGGCGCTCGTTGGGCTCTAGGTGTATAAGCAGATATCTAGTAGCATGTTGTGAATATAAACTATTATGAATAGTTAGTTTACGAACACTTCTAACGGCATAACGAAAAAAAAAATTCTTGAAACGCGGAAATTTTTACAGCACAGGGAACGCTAGCTCATCCACTGAAGCTAAAGGATGGGCATTAATGCAGTCACTTACGAAGTTATACAATTTATCAGGGGCTACTGTGTTCGGATGCTAACCCAAAAGTCATGGGTTCGATTTCAGCCACGGTGGTCACATTTCTGTGTAGGCGAAATGGCAGAGGCCCGAGTACTGTGCGATATTAGTGCACGTTAAAGGACACCATATGGTCGAAATTTCTGAAGTCCTCCACTAGGGCGTCTCTCATAACCATATCGTGGTTTCCAAGCGTAAAACCCGAGGTTCATTACTGCTACTATACTTTTTAGGTTATAAAATTTGCGTTGATCAAGCCACGTAGAAAGGCGGTGCTGAGATAAAGTTGGAATGGTCGTTCAAATAATCGGAGAGAAGGAATTTAAGCGCGGAGCTTCATAAACCACTTTCACACGTGGACAGTCTGTACTTACTCAATATCGCTATTGAGGAGAGAGAGCTTACCAGCACAGTTTATAGGACACGGGATATATACGCATCGGATGTTTGATACGTGGTTCGATATACGTGTGTGATGTTACCATAGCATAGATATCATAGCGAAAGATCCACCACACAAATGAATGTAGCTGGGTAACGGAGTTTTGATCTGAATGAAGCGTAGCAATATTTGGCTAGATTAGAGCCGACAAGCAATCATCTGTCCTCTGAGTGCCGGTGATTCTGTCAATCCCTTTCTTTAATTTTCTTCTGTGTCTATATTCACCCCTTAATCCCTTCAATATATGCAGGGTAGCAAACTGGACGTGCATCTGGTTAACCTTCCTGCCTCTTATTGCATCTCTCTCTCCATCGGCGAGTATGGGCCAGTAGGTTGATGCGGCTACGTTCCGCCACCAGCATCAGCAGTAGTCGCGCGCTCATCTCTATAGCCCCCCCTCATTTACTTATTATTCTTGTCAGAAATCATAAAAAACTCCCGGCGCGCTATTTCACGCACCTTCTTCAAGCATATCGCTCGAGCGCGTATCAAGGCACCCTTGAATACATCACGCGTGGTGAATATTTTGCGGGCCCACGCTTCTGCGGTCGCGTGGTCAGCGGAGCGTACGAGTGCTACGCCCCGAGCGAGTCGCTTTTGTCGGCGTGATACGGGCTGTCTCGATGTTGACCTTCGAAATAATCTTGCGATGTCGCATCCGGCTTTCAAGCGGGGATGCTATTTTCTTTTGCAAACGAGAGCATTTCGTTTACTGAATGAGTAGGCGCTGGTTGCCAAATGTAGCCATCCTTGCGAAATCTTTTTTTTTTCTCCCCGACACGTCGGATGTGTGCCGGTACGATACGCGCTGCACATGCGACACGTCGTCATGTTCTGTCGCCATGTATGCATTAACGTGTCGTCGTATGAATTAACCACGCCGGTTGCGAAGGAAAAACCCGAAGGCGTCAAGCGGAAAAAAATGTCCGCCCCTCCCCCCTCCCTCCGCTAACCTTTTTTTGGGGGGCAAAGGAAAAAGGGGAGAGGGGCGTATACCTGTTGAAATTACACCGCATAGTGCGAGTTTGTGATTAGCGAGGCAGCTGTTTAGATAAGAGCGCTTTCACGAATGCAGCAAGGGATTCAAAATTGCCATTCAAACTGCTCCCCTGGAGAATCAGCGGTAGGCTTTGCCGTTGTGCTTGAGTGTTGCACTAAGAAGCAAGCACGCCTTTCCTCTTCGGGCTTAATTAATTGTTTTAACTCGTTATTATCTCTCGTTGGGACTACTCGGTGAAAACAAGAATATCAGTTAGCATATCAAATGAGCTAATACTTCTTTGGCCCTATTTCAATCACACACCATCGGGAATGGTCATAATTGAAGTAATTCACTCAATACATTTTTTTTGAAGCACCAAACGCTTTCACAATCGAACGGTTAATGTTTCCGTAAATGGTGACATGAACTGATTGCTAGCCTGCTCCCCTCCTTCCTTTAAACACCCTCGTTACTACGCTCACAACGATGGTAATTAGTGGTACCACTGGGTAGTTCATAAATACAATTATTGATATCTTACAGTGTGCTAGAATGCACTGATGCCCACTTACGTGGGATCGGCGAATGTTCCATATTTGGACTTCAGCACCTATGGCTGGTGACTTTTGTTGTAAAGCGAGTGTGAATATAGACATCATACGGTCCTTGTGCGTGAGAAGCTTAAGTAAGCGACAAGTTGACAGCCAGCGCTCCGTGCGGGTACAGTGTGCCTTCTTCTCTGGTGCGTCGTCTCGCATTGTCAGTGTGGAAGCTAGAAAGTGACTCGGCCTACGTACTGTTCTGTGGAACAAATGAAAACGAGGAAAAAATATTGTTGAAACGAAAGAATACATTGGTTCACCCTATTCATCTAAATATAAAATGTACAACTCTGGTACAACCCATTACACCTGGTTCTATACAAAGTCTGTTTAATATTAATTATATCTCGAAAATTCCTTTGCATGTTGCTAGCTGCTTCGGTGCTAATTATTTAGTTAGTTGTTAACATAAGCAGTTTACAGAAATCAACGTTTAAAAACAATAGGACATAAAGTTCCCAAATCAGTATTTTCGCGAAAAAGAGCATCTACCACATTTTTGATAACTGTGCCCGCCTGAAAGCATTAATTAGACGCAACTACATACCATACACAGCAGTAAGGATTTTTGTAAAAACCCTTAAGTAAAGGCAGCATCATTTTAGGGTAATTTTAAGCACTCGCTATCAGAAAGTTTTCTCGTGCACAATTAAGAGGTTAGACATTTTATGCAAAATATCTACATTAATATACTAATTTACAGTGTTTCTTTTTGTTATTATACTGACGGAAATAATGAAAAATGTGCTCAGAGTACAATAGCACCTCTTCCTTTAAGCGCAACTTATTTAGTGTAATCACTTCAGCGATTGTAGAGAATATTTGTTTCAGTGCGGAAATTATGGTTGAGCTAGCGAGCTGCACAATTTTTAAGCGGGTCACAAAAGAATTTCGCTGATACTTTGAGAGAAAAAGAGAGAAACGGTGAAATAAAAATGAGCGTGAGTCATAGCGGTTAGCCGGAATTGAACCATCTGGTTTGCTACGCTGCATGCGGGGTAAGGAAAAAAAGATTGAAAGTAGCAAGGAGGAAAAAACAAGCGTAAACAAAAAAAATAAAGTTTCGCATTCATTCAACCATCCATCGAAGAAGACAATCTCTGGCATCTAAAGATTTCAAACAATTTGTGCAAGTATGCTTCTGTTACATTAAGAGGTGGCAGATTGGGAGAAACTAGAATTCTATTACCTTGCCGAGGTTTGTAGCGATGGATTAAGAAACGTGACGACGACAGACAAACACGTGCGCTCATGTGCTCGCCTGTTGTTGTCCTTTCCCTGACTTTACGCTGTGAACCTCAGCCCGAAGATTACTTACATTCCTCTTCGCCCCACTACCCTAGCCCCGGTGCGCATTCTCGTTTCTTTGGGATGGCGAGCAGTTCGGCATGCAACATCTGCGTCCGCAAGGAGACGCTTGAGCATGTTCAAAGCCACTGCCCAGCATACCCTGTCTGAACGTCGTATTATGGAAGCCAAGCTCTGTCACCTGGATACACGGCTGCTTACAGAAAAGAAGATTCTGGGACCTTGGCCGATGGTTTCGCATACGCGCAAAGCCACGAAAGCCCTCTTGTACTTCTTAAGGACCACTAGAATTCACGAGTGCTTGTGGAAAAACAGCGTGAGACCATGTTGTGTAGTTTCGAGCTGACTGTTCATCCTCCTCTTTCTTCCACATTTTCTTTTCTATCTCTTTCCTTTCTATCATTCTCCTTTCTCCCACCCAAAATGTAGGGTAGCCAACCGAGCCAAGCTTGGTTATTTTTACTCTCTATTT